CAGCAGCTCATATATAGGAAATACATTCGGATTATGTTCTTAATTTCAAAATATATTACATGTTTTTTACTTTCTCTGTTTTAAAAAAATTAATACCTTGATATGTTGGACAAATTTTGTCATCCTTGTGACGCCAGCGTGAAATTTTCTTTAATGTGATACATCGTAATAATATATTTGTGTAACATATATTTTGTTAAAAAATAATATTATTAAAGTGTTATGTGGTGAGCGTAGAATTTTATTCGAAATTATAGATTTTTCAAATAGTATCTTTTTCGTGGTTCAAGTACTCCGTTTAATTCTGGTATTGTCAGTCATCTGTAATTTCTGTGGCGTCACTTGTAAGTCGAGTGCTGGTCATCGATGACTTCCACAATATTCCACATTTTACAAAATAAATTTTAAGTGAATATTCAGTAAGAATGAAGTAACATAATCCAAAATGTAAATCCCTACTTCCAGAGGGTTGGCTGTTTTTGAGCTGTGATCAACTAATTTATTGATTCTAACAACTTACTAAGTTATATTCTTTGATGCCTTATTAATATTTACTTATATATGCATATATATACACACATACATGCGAATGATATTAAATTCGGAAAATCAGGATACCATATAATATGTAACAGTGAATGTGTGAAGATAAATGAATATTATATTATTTAATTTATTACATTTGAAGATATTTAATTCTTTTTCTATGTACATTTAAATGATGTGCAATGTATAACTTCTTTCTGTTAGCCCTTTAACAATTTCTCCATGGTTAATACAATATAGACATCATAATACATATTTTCAATGATTAAATGCTATATATCAAAATATTAATATTTCATACGTTCACTGGTTGATGTCAGTGAATCCGTGGAATAAGTTAATTCTTTTACATTTTTTGTCTATACTATAAGTTCTGCAGACTCGCTGACTTCAAACACACGCAGTCACTGTAACATAGTTATATGTGAACATAAAATGTGTGGAGAACATTAAAGCAAAACTACATCGGATGATGTCGTATGATATAGTATATTGAACCTCCGATCCTTGCTTTTAAGTCCTGCCACGTTTCCTAATATGCATGTCTCACATATTTCCACATTTCACGTAACCACTTCATTCATAGAAAATTAACACACTCCGCAACAATAATGAATTGTCGACACTTGCAGTAATTGTGTTTGATCTATTTTCTTTTGTTGTTTTCCATTATTTTAGCATGATTTTTTATTTTATCTATAAATGTAAACGAACGGAAATCATTTGAAACAAACAAAAAATGTCAATATTCCTTTCACTATAAATGACTTGTAAATTATTTGACATTACATATGATAAGTAATAATTTCAACATTTTGAGAAACACAATAGCAAGTTTACATCAAATTTACGTTTATCTATTTGCGTGTTCGACCCTGCACACACTTTTTTTCCTGGGACTGTGGCGAATGATTATAAAGTATTCATAGTATACACTTAACTTTTTTGTAATAATTTGAAGAAGTTTAAGTGCATGTCACTTCACGTTAACATTATAATAAAATCAGTTAAGTAGTATTTTTCGATACATAGTTTTTAAAGTTTATGAACAGCCTCTGCACTTATATATATTAAATGTGCAAACAATGAACCCTTTGGAAGATAAAATTATCTTCTAATGTTATTAAATATTTTAAAGAGTCTTGTATGATATAAATATTTGATGTTACATTTTGAACTACATAGTTTCAAGAAATATTTAATGTGAAAGTATAAATTTGATAAGATTTTGTTACATAATCACCTTAAGCGTATGCTTTCATACTGGCGATAATTTTGTATTGTTGTCATAAATACATTATACTATAGACAAAAATAAAGTTGCCGGTCCATGTTGATACTGACTCCATGTGTCTCTTGTACCGTGTGTTCCATGAAACGCAGACGGCTATGGCTATGGCGGTGGTAGTTACGATGGTGGCTACAGTGGTGGGCGCGGTGGTGCACGCGGTAAAGGTACGCATTAGCGTTCCTTCTCTATTGTTTTGTATTTCCCCGAATGTCCTACTTTGTTAGCATAAGTGCAATTTCTGAATTCACATTTGTTTCATTAATTATTTTTCATCGGTAATTACTTTGTTTTCCATTTTTGTTGGTCTGTATCCTTCATCATCAGTTCCCTTTATTTTCTCTAACTATAAGTATGTGTGTACATGTACGTGTGAGCTATGAAATTTGTATTTTACTATTTTCATACTTATGATACTAATAAAAATAATAATAGATTTTCAGCAACCACTGATACGCATTACTGAGTGTATAAAAAAAAATCGTGTTTACGTGATTGTATACAAATACTGCACCCTAGTGGCATATTATCACATAGTATTTTTCATACATTTTTCTATTTATTTTATTGCTTATGAAACATTTTGACATGTTCCATTTTCTTTAACCAAATAACAAATAAGAATGTTCTTATCACTGATAAAATAACATGTAAAAATGTACTTTTCAGATACAAAAAGTTTTTCTGGATTTTATTAACTAAGAGTTAACTAAAAAAGAACTTGTTGTTAAAGAATGAGCAAAAACCTGTTACTACGAAATAAATTAAGATTTTTAAAATATCGATTTTTTATTATTAAGAAAAGGTTATTTTTAAAAGACTAGTTTCTACTGAATGTGTTACTGAATACATTGTGCATAATTTATTTCAATTATGTTAAAACTGATTACTGTAGACTAATATTTCGTTAAAAGAACAAAATATTTTTCATAAATCATATGTTGAATTTTAATATTTATATATAGCCATCTTAATATTATAATATTGATAATATGGTTAAAGTTCTTGGTTAAAGAAAATATTCTTCACTACGTTTCAATATGAAAATAATTTTAGAATAATGAACAGTCAAAATTACTATTGCAATAATATTTATTACCTTTAACACTTTCACTCCAACGTGATTGTCAGAAAATCACATTTCGCTCACGAAATAATGATGTTAAAAAATATCATCTTTTATTTTTGGTACTATGGTATGGATATATATATATATACGCTCTTTATACGTAAGCGCTCACTTTTCAAGGACGTACACATACGCTTTGCGTACCTGAACGTTCATTCTTCGATGGCGTATATATACACCTTTCAGAGCAAAAGTGTTAAAGCAAAATATTTTAAAACAGTAATAGATTTTTTCGGAGTAATTATTGTTATTATATTTAAGTATTTATAACTTCAAAATTGTCACATGTATGTATATATACATATATATACACACATGTGACAATTCACTTCAACATATATTGAAAGCATGCTACATTTAAGTTTGCAAAAAAATATTTTATCCGTGCAACAAGGCGTACATTAAACTTAAAAAATAATGAATAATTAAAATTATTTTTCATGCTGATACTAAACCCATTTCATCTTTATTTCATTTACATATCCTTAACCTTAAACATTTCTGGTTATTTGATAGAAATAATTTAAATTATTACAATAATAATGCTGTATCAAATCATACTTTGATGATAATATAAGTTAGGATAGTAATGTAATATAAGTTTACACTTAAAGTCTTATGTAAAATAATTAAATGTAGATTATTTAAATAATTTCAAATGTTTTTAAACATATTTAGTACAGCAGTATGTAGATGTCAGTATTCCAGCATATGCAGATTCCAGAAATGTGTAAGGAGAAAAGGAGAGTATGAATCAGAACGCAGCCTTGCAGCTTACTACCTTAGCCTGTAGCCTCTATGTAGATTCTTCGTAGTTTTATATCCATTACGTTAGTCTGTATCTTCATATATTGTTTCGTACTTTATTCTGTTATTAATAGAAGTGTGCGTGCGGTAATTTCTACAAACAGACCGTTTTTTGGTCAGTCTTTTCGAATTTCTTCAAAAACGGTGGGAAGAAGAAGGGGAGGGGGAATGTATCCAAGTTGTTGGACTAACGTACATCGTGTGGGTATTGTTTCAGGAGGCTCAGGCTACGGCGGAAAGCAGAGGGGAGGTGGTCGTCAGAACCAAAGGCACCAACCCTATTAATGGAAATCATTCATTGCGACCGCAATGCAATTCGCATTGTAACCGCTGGTGAGTCATCATAGCTTTCCTGACATCTATAACTTCAAACTCAACCTTTCTTTTCCTTTTCCAATGTCATTTATGTTAAATGTAACCAATAATTTTATGTGACTACGTAATTGAAATATAAAAAACATAATATGACTACTATACAAAAATAATATAGTATAATGTATGAATTTTTTTTTGCAGGTTTCCTGACCTACAACAAATCTCATAACTCGTTAAATCATCATTCCATTAAACCACGCCACTTTCAGCAAGATATTCAACAACGCAGACTACTGCCGCAAAATAAAATGAATCATCAGGAATCACGACAAAAACTGTAATAGTTCACATTTTGCATCTAGCAATACATCTGTATTATCGAGACAACAAAAGCAAACATATACATGTATATTATATATATATAATATGTATATATGTGTATATATATGTGTATACATATATATATATATATAGGTACACAATGCTTTCTTCCATCTCTCGTTTACCCTTTTGTACAAAGTGAAAAGTACTTCATATTTCTCATTGGTCTCTTTCTCATTTCATCTTATTTATCATTAATTTTTTACTACTAGTATGTTACGCTCAACGTAAAGCAGTGTCGCATCGTAATACGTTTGTAAACTATTAACGTTGTGTATGCTGACACAAATATGAATACAGCACAATGGTAATTCCAAACGTATAGATAACTAAATCGACGGTATGCTTTACGATGAGATATTGTAACGTAATATTTTTGTGCAAATGGGAAAGCAAAAGATGATAGGAAATAATTTAAATACAAATATATTAGGAAGAATCAAGTTTCTCATTCACCGCTTGGGACTGTTGAGAAACAATTACGTCCCTATTTTTAACAATAAGATTATTTTAATTTGTCTATAAAAACTAAACTTAATAAGAAGAAACCACTATAGAAGAGTAAGCAGGCAATGTACTTTTTACACGGCTACGTTAAGACAAGAATGAGAAGTACCGAGTTGTTTATAATGATTGTGTGAGGTATGAAATGAGGTAAAAAGATTATTGCTTCCTTATTGGTAAGAAAAATAGGATAAAATAAATTCATTTTGTGTACATAATATATCCCGCGTATGTTTGTATTTGTGTTAACCGATCCTAATAATTATTTAATTTTTTGGAAAATGATATGTACACACTATTTCTTTAAAATATGGTGATAAACATCCATCTATACATTAGATTTAAATAAGACTGACACAAGGATTTAGTGAATTTGTATTACAAACAATATTTTGCTGATTCTATCACAGTATGTGCATCGAGCTAGGTATTCTTTCAGTTTTTATTTTACACTCAAGAACAACACATGTACATTATATTTATATACTGACAGTTTCATTCTAGGCAAAGAACATCGTAATAAGATTTTTAAAGCAAAAGAAAATATTGTATTTTTCTCAAATTCAACACTGTTCTATGTCACAAAAGTATTACATTAAAAGAATTAGAGAAGAAATAATGTCGCCTTTTTTTTTAATTTCACAATTTGAAGTAAAATGTACAAAACTCATTCTTAATATGTAATGTTAAAAACTTCAATTAATTAGTATTGTATAAAGTTTTACCATTGTGTAATATTAAAATACCGTAGAAAATAAGATTTGGATCACATATTTCATTAATCAAAAGATTATGCATTTTAATTTTTCTTTTTCTGTCAATTTAAAAACAGAATCTTATAAATAATATTTATGTATTGTATCGTTTATGAAATGAAATAGTAATGCTAATTTGTATTAAAAAATAAATGTACAAAGAATTTCCGTATTAATGTCTATAAAATGAGGAATTTGATACCTTCGTTCACTTTAGGTTACAATATATTTTAATTGTTAAACAGATCAAAGAATTTTTGGACGATTCTAATTTAAAGTAAAATTTTATAAACTGAAGATGTAATTTCCTATAAAACTGAAATAATACATGGGATTTAGTTCATAA